CACACACCATACACACACACCACACACACCATACACACACACCACACACACACCACACATACCACACACACACACACCACACATACCACACACACCACACGCACCACACATACCACACACGCACCACACACACACCACACATACCACACACCACACACACACACACCACACATACCACACACACCACACACACACACACACACCACACACACCACACACACACACCACACATACCACACACCACACACACACACCACACATACCACACACACACACACCACACACACCACACACACACACACACACCACACACCACACATACCACACACACACCACACATACCACACACACACCACACACACACCACACACACATGCACGCCACACACACACACACCACACACACACACCACACACCACGCATACCACACACACACACCATGCACACACACACCACACACATGCCACACACACACACCACACACACACACCACACACATACCACACACACACACACACATTCTGCAAAGAACCTGGAAGATACTCAGTAATTATTTTGTTGAATAAATGAATGCATGAATGAGCAAATAAATTTGTTGAACATCAGGGAATAATAAAAAAATCAATGAATATTTGTGGAAGGAAGGACTGATTAAAAGAAGCACCTTGGTTCAGGATAATTTTTAAAGCCATAGAAAGGATTTTAGGCAGCTAGACAGAAGTCTAATTTTACACATCAGGAGATCGTAAATCTCCTGAAATCTTTTCTCCGTAGTGGTCTAGTGACTGTCCAGTTCCAAATCTGTTTGGTCAGGGCTGGGGTGGAGCATGGCACCCCAGAGCCCCAGGCCACCAGCACTATATTCCCATAGCCTCTTCCCTGCCTTCCCTTCACTGGCCTCTTGTCCTTGACCCCTGCCAGGAACCCCCTCGGTGTGCCTAAGTGACGCCTGCATCTCGGTGACCAGCTCCATCTTGAGCTCCATGGACCCTACGGTGGACCCCTGCCAGGACTTCTTCACCTATGCCTGTGGCGGCTGGATCAAAGCCAACCCCGTGCCTGACGGCCACTCGCGCTGGGGGACCTTCAGCAACCTCTGGGAACACAACCAAGCCATCATCAAGCACCTCCTCGGTAAGCACCCGGCAGCGGGACCAGTGGACGGGCTGCAGAGGACGGCTGTCCGCTGGACCTACCTGGCCAGGCCCGGTTGAAGGAAGAGCTTGGCAGGATGGGGAGACGAAGGGCTGTGGAGTAGGTGAGACTCGGTTAAATGTGCCCCATCGTTCGGTGCGTGATCCTGAGCAAGTCACTTATCTCTGAGCCTTACCTTCTTCATCTATGAGAAGAGGATTAATAATACCCAAACTGCAGAGGTTCGAGAACGAGTGAGCACATGTGTGAAGCATTAACGTGGCATGTGTGGCATGTAGTAGGTGCACAAGAACTGGTAGCTGTGGTCATTGCTCTTCTGGCTTTAAGCTGTTCCTTAGGTTTTGACTAGTACTGACTGTGAGTTTTGCAGGTTACGAGCAAAAGGAATGAGCGCTGAGCACACTAGATCAGATTTTAAGGTTGTGAGCTGATCAAAGTTCTAACAACGGTTTTATCTGAGAGTTATTCATTGTAGGCAGAAGTCTTCCTTGGCCTCATGGTAATCGAGCTTGTGTGATAAGCCATCTGACCGAACTTCTTCTCTTTATACCCTGTTAGGCCTTCAGCACCTCTAGTTGACCTTGTTGTTGGTTGTTTCATCCTCAGGTTAGAATCCCATATTGGTCTTGTTTGAAGTTGTATCTTTAGTTAATGTCTGTTGAATTAACATCTGCCTGTTGGGTGCTTCTCCATGTGGAATCAAAACACCCTGTGCTATAACTTCTAGAGGTCCCGACTTAAACCCTTCAGGGCCGAGACCTTCACCGTACCTGTCTCCTGCTGACCCCTGCCCCATCCTGGGACCCTAAATGCTGGGAGAGGCTAGGTCATGAAAAGCCAGTCAATCCATCAATGACAGAGCTTAGATTTGACATATACTTATTCAGTTTAAAAAAAAAAAAGCATCTTGATACTCAAAAGTAGGTAAATTGAAGAAGATACCTAAAAGGGGGCAGATCTTCCCAAAGGGACAGAAACCTTCCCATGAGATAGGAAAAGAGTCTAATTTGATGATTATGAATTTCAGGCAACTGTGTCTTTAAGACGAAAGTGGAAATAAGCTAACTAGGTTAAGGAGACCTTTGCTTGTTTTCCCCACCTCAGCCCCAGGGGGCGTGGCTACTGCAGGGTGAAACCCACCCACCACTTCTTGGCCCCCAGCAGCTGCTGGGCAGGGCCCCCTGGCAGCCCCCTGCTTGTCTTCCTGAGGGACAGAGCCGGGTGGTGTGTGAAGGCGGGGCTGAGGGAACCTCATATGTCAGGAGCAGCAAAGCCCCCTGTGCGCTTTGTGCTACCGGAGTGCCTTTGCAAGGGGACCCAGCCTTTTATTTCAGAACTAAAGGCAAATATGTCTGTGGTAGCCAGACTGGAACTCAGGGATGTCCCTCCCCCAGCACCTAAAGACACAGCCAGGGACTGCGCAGGGACCATCAACCAAAGCAGGGGAACAGTCCAGATAGGATAACGAGATGGGCTAGTGCCTCTGCTTCAGTCACCGGGACCTGGGTTCAAGTCCTGGTTCTGCCACTTACTGTGTGATCTTGGGTCAGTTACATAACCTCTCTGGGCTCTTGTCTCATCAGTACAATGGGAACCATGCCTCCTCCAGGTCTAGAAAATTAAATGGGAAGATATCTTTAAAGCGCTTTACCTGGGCCAGGTGTATTGTGGTGGCTGCTGTCTGTGTTGGTTTTACCATTATTATTTACCCTTGACCTTTGCCCAGTACTTTTCAGTTTACAGAGCTCTTTTGTAGATATCACCCTATGCGACCCTGTAGGGTAGGAGCTAGGAAACTGTTGCTCACCCCGCTTGATAGACGAGGAGACTGAAGTCCAGAGAGCTCCTCAAGACAGGCTAGCAGGTGGCAGAGCTGGGACTGCCTGACTCCTGGTCACGTGTCCTTTCCCTGTCCCACACCACCTCCAGCAGGTGCCAGGGGCAGTACGGCTCCCTGCCCATCTTGTTGGGGAGAGCCTGCAGGAGGCACGGAGCTCTGAGAGTCTGAAGGAAAGAAGGAAAGAGGCTGGCATTTGCTGAGTGTCTGCTATGTGCCGTGCTCTGTACCAGGCTCATCATATCCACTGCCTCCTTAATCCTCACAGCTACCCTGGGACTTAGGAACTGTGGTTCCCATTTTATGGATGAGGAACCTGAGAAAAGTTAAGCTTGCCAAGGACACCCTGCCAGTCCAGGATGAAGAGGGTCTCCAGCCAGGGGAAGAAGTTAGCACCCAGAGGGGATGGGGGAGACAGGCGGATGGGCCCTCTAACTCCCCAGTCAGGTCCAGAACTGCCCATGGTGTAGGACCCCCATGGGTCCTGATCCTGCTGCTTCCAGGAGGATCTTGGGTCCTATCAGGAAGACCTTGGGTCTAGGCCAGGACCGAGCTCATCCCCCTTCCCTACCCCGCAGGCAGCAGTCCTGGGCTCTGGCCTTACATCCCCGCTGTCCCTGAGGGTCAAGGTAGGGGTGGGGAGTGCACTGAGCCGGGCACGGAGCAGCCGGAACCCTGACCCCGAGGCCGGGGCCCAGTGGTATCAGGAGTGAGCCCTAGCATGCTAGCTTATCACGTGTGGCCTTGGACGAGTGACCCGGCTTCTCTACAACTTAGTTTCACTATCTGTGAAATGGGAATAACGGTGCCACCTAACACTCAAGGTTACTCTGGGTATTGTCTCACTGTGATGGGTCAGAGCGCTTAGCACAGAGTCTGGCACCTGGTAGGTGCTCAGCAGAGTAGGACTGCCCTCCTCGGTGGTGGTGGATGAGCTCCAGCTCAGATATCTCCCTACAAGCTGTGTGACTACAGAGAGGCTGCTCAGCCTGCCTCAGCCCTTCACCTATGAAGTGGGAACTAACTCCGAGCATTGGCAGGTGTGTTCTAAGGATTAATTGGGTGGTTGAAAAAGAGTAATTATTGCTTATTTTATTTCTTATAGAAGCACTGATAGAGCTTCTTATCAGGAAAGGAGGGATAGGGTGTATCCATGACTATGCTGGGTTGTTTACTTGTATTATTTTATTCACGCCATGGAGTATATGCCCATTTTACAGATGAGACTCACAAATACAAAGGAAACATATTTCCTAGGAAATGGTGGAGCTGGAATTCAGTTCCAGACCTGTGAGGCCTCAGACCTGTATTCTTTCTTTACTGATTCTGCTGTGCACACAGCGGTCATAGGGCCCCGCATGTATGGTTTGCCAACCTCCTTTCCCCCAAGGCCGATTGATATTGTTCTCCAGGCCAGGCGAGACCTGCCCGAGGCCTGATGAGCACGGTAGTTGGGGTCACCTCATGTCGTAGTGACCGAGAGCTTCCCCACAAGGCATATCCTGGCATCCCCTCTCCCCGGGCTCACTCCTGGAAACCAGTCTGGATACGGCGCCTCATTTATGGGCCTTGATACCTGGGACTTTGATACCTGGAAACTCCCGAAGAGGCAGGAAGTAGGTGAGTGGGTGACCAAAATATGCAGGAGTGTGGGCCAGTGCATTCTTGGGCTTAAGGCCAGGCTGGTTTCAGCTCCCCCAAGACAAAGGGGTCAGCCAGCAGGCCTCAGGAGGGAGCTGGAGCTGGCGGGGATTGGAGCACACAGGGGTGCCCTGCTGTCCAGGCGGGCTTGGGGAGCGGCTTCTCTAGGAGAAGAAGGACAGCTATTACCATCAACTTGCCGTGTGACCTTGGGCAAGCCACTTCTTTCTGTGAACGGTGAGTTTACTCCGGCGCCCTCAGAGGAAATCCAGGCAGATCTGTAGCAGGTGGGTTGAACTGGGCCAGGTGCCACCGTGGCATGTTCTGGCTGCCTGCTGGCTGGAGGGGGGTGACCTCAGCTGCACGAGACACAGATGCCTCTCCCAAAAGACACTCTGCCATCCACCCAAGCTGCCAGCTTGGGCTGTCCTCGTAGGCTTTGGGGAGACAAGAGTGTCCTCACTTCATCAGAGGAAAGGCACAGCTGGACCCGTCACCCCTTAGGCTGGGCCTTGCCTTAGGGCTTTTAGCACAGGCTATTCTGCCATCGGGAACACCTCCCAGTCCTTCAAGATTTTGGTCAAACCTGCTTCTCCCCTTATGCCTTCTGTGGATACCCAAGGGCCTCTCCGGGCTTGAGCTACAGTTATATTTTGTGTACTTGTCATATTTACTACATTTTATATTCTAAGATTAATCACGAAAAAAAAAATTGATGCTTGCTTGTTGTAACAATTCAAGTAACACAGATTCCATAAAGAAAAAGCTAGTGGTTTCCCTTTCTTCTACTCCTGACACCAGTCTCCCTGGGAAATACACGCAGAACCATTCCAGTAGCATTAAATTTGTCCATGTCAGTAACTTGGCAGTTAATCATGTCACGCTGTGACATCTCTTCTATTTTCATTTTGATCTTTTTCCAGTATTTACTGTCTAATGTAGTTTCATCTTCCTGTACACACTGGAAATTCTACAGACAAGCTCTGCATCTGAAATGCTTTCTATCCAATTTCACGCCTGCAGCAGCAGGCCTTGCTTTTTCTTTCATGCTTGGGGAGTGGTGAGACGGACTGATTGATAAATTGATCCAAGGATGGGAGTGGGTATCCAGGGCTTCTTAGGGGTGGCTGGACTGCTTCAGATCTACCTCTGGTTTTCCAAGCCAACCTGCAGAAGAGGAAAGGGAAGCAGAGAGAGCTTAGGCCTCTGCTCTGGCCTCAGCCACTCACTCGTGTGACCTTGGACCGGTTACCCAGCTTCTTGCCTATAAATTGGCACCCGCTGGTGGAAACGGCTGTGACAAGATACACACATGCAGCCATGCCCACACACAGAGGAAGTAGCTCGTTTTCTCCGGGAGGCTTAAAAATGTGTGGGTTCAAATTCCGGCCTGCCGCCCATTAGCTCTGCCTCCATAGGCGAGTTCCTTCGTCTCCCTGGACCTCATTTTCCTTCTGTATGAAACGGGGTGGCCGTGTCCACCTCAGGGTGTCAGTGTGGT